TCTAATATGATCGACTTTGAAATTGTCAAAAAAAGTTGTACCATAACATAGGTATCATTATTATTATTATTATCATTTTTTATTATATTATTTTAACATTTTATTATTTTTAATTATTTTATTTTTTATACTATATTATAACATAGGTATTTGTCGAAAATTGAGATTTTTAAGTGGTACCATAACTTAAGTCATTTTTCCAATATTTAAATTTTACTGATCACAAATAAAAACATAAATTTGGCAACGTTGCACAGTAAATCGTACGCAATCATTTGACTTTTGGGGTAAATATTAAAGTTAATAGTTTAACGTACGCAATCGTGTTGACGTACGCAATCGTGTGGTATCCGACAAAAGGTATGATCTCAATTGTGGGGTCACGTAAAAAAATTCAGCACGTACTTATAAGTATAGAACGCAAGACACGAGGCTTTTTTTATCACATTTGTCACCAGGTAGAAAATATGGTCGAAAAAATATTGTTGAAAATGTTTATTTCATAAAAACCTTACCTAGCCGTAATTATTTTAGAATTATATTACGTGGCAGCGTTACTATGGCACTTAAAAGTAGATTATATGTATTAGTATTTGTTTCGTGTATAATACATAGAAATCTTAAACCATGTTCCACGAATTACTTCAATTAATATTCTGTTATGCGCTTGTAGCCGAATCGGTCAGGTTAGATTTAACCAATTCAATGTACAGAGAGCTAGGGGACATTGTTGACAAGAAAATTCTAAAAGTCATGAATATGGTAGAGAAATACGGCAACGTCATGTCTCCTCCACTCGAGCATTCTGACAAGGACAAAAACTCGGTATCCGTGTCATCAGCTTTAGCTCCAGCAGCAGACACTGATCTTTCGTACGCTACTGAACCACCGGGCTGCCGTTGCCCACGGATTGCCGGAGTCTCGTCGATGAACTCGATCGTGGCCCCGAGCTGGACGCCGGTGAAACCCGCGGTGGTGGCAGACTTGTCGTCCGCTTCCGTTGCGGAAATCGGAAAAAGTTTGAAAAGATTGACGCAACTGGTGAACACTGTGGGCCACCCATCATATTGGTCGCAGCCGCCCTTACCCGTGGTCCGTGCGAACTTACAGGCGCAAGCAAAAATACCAGCGACCCGTACCGTTTCGTCGAAGCCGTCCTAACCAGTGATCCTGCATCTCGGCTGACGATGATTTTCGAGGAGTGAATCGCCCCCTCCCCCCTTGTACGTGTAAATGTATTAAAAAACCGCAAAAGAATGTTTATTTTGTAATACATTTTGTAATTCATACTCATTATTATTATTTATATATATTTTTATTACATAGACGAAACCAGTCTTAACGTTCAGGAGGTTCAAATATTTTTGTAAATATCCCCCTCTCCAAAAAAAATAAAATGAAACATTAATACTATTTAATTAATAACCTATACTTAATTATATTCATAATATTACATCACAATAATAATTATATACAATGCCACTCACAATATCATACGACGTTTGGACTCCACTTAATTTTTAAAATCATCAATGAGGTACTTTATCTGTATCGATTTCTATGGCAAATTCTCATTCTACACTCAGGAGCATCGAGGTACTTAACCTGTCTTGTCTCATTGTAGTTCGCAGTTTTGATTTTACAATTGACAACTTTGAGAAAGACTACTCACACGTGCAACTAGTAACTGGCATTACCATAAACCTTTAAACAACTTTAAAAAGTTACTAAAATATAACTTATGGTTAGATTTTTTAAACCATTTTAACTAATCATGAAACGAGTAAACTTTTACAATATCATTATTTTTCAATACCTATAGTTGTACTTTAGTTTCTAATTCATTTCTATTACACTGAAAATGATTAGAGATAAAATAAATATCAGGACATGTTATGTTTAATTTTAATAATTTATTAGCATCATTAATTATATTCATTGTTTTTTGACTAAATCGTTCATTAATACCATTAATTATTAAATCTAACATCGGATAAAAGATTTAATTCTAAGCTCCTGTTCTTTTGTTTTTACATAAACATAAATTGTACAATAATCTATATGGGAAAAAAATTTTCTTTACTAACAATAAATTAAGACAATGTGCATACAATGAACATATAAAATATTGGAATTTTTCTCTTTAAAGTTTAAATGTTACCTGTACGCCTGATAAATATACAGACATGATGGAAACACCGTCAAAGTAAACAGCAACAATATCAGCCCATTCAATACTTATATAAGTTATCCATAACACGAAAAAGCTCATCAAATATTGACCGAGCATCCACTCGTAATAATCTTTAAGACCAATAAAACATTCATTTGGCGCAAATAAATCATCGTCAAAGTAACCGATTACAATTATTAATAATTGTTTGTTGTGTCCAAGGTCAGTAGTATCATCTGCAATAATTGAAACTTACTTTTTATGAATAGTTGACACAATTGAACGGAACATTACGCTGTGAATACTTTGTAAAATATCATTTTGTATTTAATAGCTGAGGTAAATTGCGTTTTTTGGTCCATTTTTAAGTGCTCTTTTAATACTGGATCATACCTTGAGTGAAGATCAACAATTTTAAGAAACAATCCTCATTTATTACTTTCTTCTTTCTCATCATAACTTCGTAAAGCACGACCATCTTTTGTAATTGTTATTATTATATCAATAAAACTTTTAATAATAGAATGATTTTTTAGTCATATTTTTTCCTGTCAACTTAAATTTAATGAACTTTGTATTTGAAGAATAATATCAATTGGTTAATTTTTTAAAATATTGATTTAATGAAGATTCACTTCCTAAATGAGTAGAAAACTGTTGATGTACCTAGCTTAAAATTTTATGTTGCTATATTTCAATTACTAAAATCATTTTTAGTATATGCTGAATTAGAATGCCCAAGATGTGTTGACACTTGACATGCAAAGCATGGAAAACAAAGGCCGCATCTAAAACTTGGCTATACTCCAATCATTGAAATTTTGTGTACCAGTTGGCTTGAAATTGTCTCTGTGATGAACCAAACATTTTTCGTGGAAATATTAAATTTGATGGCTAATATGGTCCCAATTTTATTCTCTATCATTTTACTAATCCATGAGACGGTATTAGATTTACTGGATCGGCAGAATCATCATTACTGATAATATTCTAAAACACAAGTTTTTAGGAATTTAAATAATTATAATTGTTTTAAAATAATTGATACAAATATCATCAGGGCATTAATTATATGATATAATGGTTTACATTTTTAAGTTTACGATTTATATACGAAAAACACTTAGTCGCGACCGTCTCGCCGCCAGACCGATTCGTTGTTAAATTGTCTGCGCGTTTAGGGGGTGCCACCACGTACCCTGCATATCCCCTAGCACCGCATGTATTATTTTATGAATATACTTTTATAAGTAATACGTTTGTTTAGTATTACCTATCATATGTTTGACTATTAATGAAATTTGGATAAAAGATAATTTTTGTTTTAATTTTTTTTGTTGATACCCATACATTTTATGTAATGCAGTAGTTGTATAAAGTTTATAAAACTTGTAGTTACCATATATCAAGCAACAGAAAAAGAAATAAGTGGAACATGTATGTAAGTATGGGCAAAATATTTTTGCCCCCTCCCCACCTTTGCTGCAGCTCAAGAATCGGCCATGACATAAACTTCCAATATGTCTATAATAAGTTTGATTGTAAAAGTTACAATAATGTCAAACTAATTTAATCTGTATTTTGCTTCGGTCAACAACTCATCAATTGGCATGTTCATATATTATGCATGAAATGGACATTTTTTTTAAATATATTATAAATTATGAGTTTATTGGGTCATAAACCGTCCAAGCAATTATTCAGAAACACAAAAGTTTAATTATTAGCTTAGTAAAAATTATTATTAGAATCTGCTAAACAGTTGTTTAAAATGTTTAAAGTTCTGATTAATATACTAACATACCTATCTCAACATACTGGAATAAGTTAGTACAAAAGGTTTTAAATCACCACAATATAATAGGTTAACCATAAAAATAAAAAAGTTAAATTGTAAGTTATGCAAAAAAATGTCTTAAGCTTACATGTATTTATAATTAATTGTGAACATAAATTGAAATTATTTCAAATTAAAATTAATATTTTTAGTTGCTAAAACGTAATAAATAAAAATGTATTGTATTGTACATTAATGTCACATGTGTTCCAGTTGGTATAATTTTCCATTTCAAGCACTAAAACTAAGTAAGATTTTATGGACAGACTTAGTTATATTAATACTTCCTTTAGATAACTTAATCGTCTTAATATATTGTCCGGTAATGTTAACTGTGGTATATTAGCATAACTTGTTACGTAAAATAGACCTTAAAGCATGCTATTCATAAGCTTTCTGTTCTACCCACTTATTATTTTAATAATTTTTTTTTATAATTTTACAATGTTTCGATTATTTATTTAAAAAAAAAAAAAATGTAAACTATGTGTATAATACTATACAAATATAAATGATAAAATTTATAAATAAATATAAATAAGTAATTAGTAAAAAATTTGTATTTGTTTTGATTTGACTAATTTTTTGAAGTTTTATACAAATTTTAATATAATTTTTTATAATACTCAATAAGGAATGTGTATTAGTTAAATAAATTTTTTCTTAAAACTGCATAATTTATGCAGGAGAATACTTATTTTCTAAGATAAATAGAATCATAATAATATTACCAAGTAAGTCGATTAAACTAGTAATCTGTACTGTTTATATAAACATTTAGTATTTATAAAAACCACAATCCGTCTTTATGAAAATAAAGTGCTATATAAATATTAGGTATTATACAAACTTTTTTTTTTATTATTATTAAAATAGTTCTTTAAAAGAATTAAGTGAATTAAAATTTTAAACAAAACTAATATATTTTATTTTTATATTTCTTTAAAAACAATAAAATTATTAATTTATTAATCAAGAAAAAAATGCATTGGTCAAGATTTACCAGTAGGCAGTTGAATAACATATTTAATTTAATTAAAGGACTAAATTTTTTAACATTTTTCTTTTATAAATAAATATTTGACTTTAGCCCAAAAAAAATAAAATAATTTAACTTTCAAGTCTTTCAAAATATACTATTAGTTCACAATGTGGTGTTTGTGGAAACATATCAACAGGAACAGCTTTCACTGGTACAAATGGAGCACCTTGTTTGGTTTTAGATTCAGCCATAGACAATGATAAAAAGTTTTGCAAAGCCGCTTTAGGATTACAAGACATATATACTAATCGTTTCAAATGTGTCATCTTTCGTAGAAGCAATATTGCTTTGTTATCTATAATGCATTAAGTTAAATAAATAATTTTATAGTTAGTTATCAACAAAATAAGAAGCCAGTAGTTTGCTTACGCAATCCTGCTCTGGGTGGATCGACTATGGCAACTACATCATTAGAATTCACTGGGTTTTGAAATTCACGTTTGTTCATTACTTCTTCAGCTTTTCCAGCAAAGAATATTGCATTTGTAATACCATTTTCAGTGGCATTTAATTTTGCCATGTTAACTGCTTCTTCTTGAATTTCTACACCAATTACTTGAGCACAGTCCTTAAAAAAAAAAAATTATAAATGTTTAATTTGATTAATATTTAATAAATTGTATACATTCAACTGTACGTATATAAGAAACACAAGCAAAAATGTTTTGAATTACCTTAGCTATAGACAGGCCTATTGTACCAGAACCACAACAAACATCTAAAACTGTAGTTTGTGAATTAATGGAAGCTAAATCTCTAGCAGCATCAAACAATATTTCAGAAGCAGCTGTGTTTATTTGAAAAAATGATTCAGGTGAAATTCTTAACTTAAGACCTTTCACTTCTTCTACAATATATCCCTGTCCATGTAATAATTCTAAGGGAAATGAATTTCCTTCCCCGGCACTAAAAATTAATTTCAAGATAAATTACAAATATTATGTTAGTATATTTTTCAATAAATCAGAGATATATTTCTAAAATAATTTAAGTGAACTAATTTAATTTAAATAAGGACTTTAAATATTATATTTATCATTCATTTTTAGCTTAAAATATATAACAGTACATTTAGAAAGAAGTTACTTTCAGTGTTAACTTATGAATATGGGTCCGAAGTAAATACTTATTCCTTACGCTCTTTTTTTTGCTTTTTGAAAGTAAAGAGAATCTACTTTACAATCAGTTCCAGCTCCTTCAGTAAAATAACTGAGGATTAATTGTTTTAAAGAATTCAGGGCAGATTCCTCCATGTTTTCAGTGTGAACTACACAAATTAACATCAATTGTCCTGTTTTTAAGCTCAGCCTTACAGTTAACTGACGCCAATGGCCTGTATAATTTTCAGGATCAAATACAGGAACTTTAGAAGCTCTAACTAAATCTTGAAAACACTAAATAACAAAAGTATAAAAAATATTACATAACATAATATAAGACATTATTTCACATTATTCTTGTGTTCACTATAACTGAAAATGAAAAATATAGTTACCAACCAATACTTAAATAAAGAATTTATATTACGATAACTTACTTTAACAACATCTTTCATACGTTGAGGAACATTTAAAATATTATCAATAGGAGCAACACTAGTTTTTCCTTGGTTATATGCACCAACACGAAATCCAACAATTGGTTCTTTATTTTCAACATCCATACCTAAAATTATAGTAAATATATAAACTACTAAACAAATAATAATACAAAAAGAGTTAATTTTATGTTCACTGTTTATAGAATTAAGAAGATAAACATATTGTCAGTATTTTAATCGATTAAAAAAAAAACTGTTCAACATTAAAATTATTTAAGAACAAAATTTAAAATTAATAAATATATTTTTTTTTTTATTATTATTTTATTATTTATAATTAGTATTTAATAATTTAAACATTTTTATTATTAATTTTTTTGAGCTGATTTATTTAAAAATAGCTAATTAATGTTCTCTACTAGGCATTGATTAGCTAATTAATATATTTATTGCTTATAAACTTAGAACACAAATTATTTTTTACCATAATAGGAAAGTAGGACAAGATACAAGACTAGAGTATTTGTACTTTTATGTAAAATTTAAGAGGATACTTTATTTCTATATACTGTTTTGTCTTAAAAAATCATAAAATATAGAAATCCATTTAACTCTGTTAACTATGACATTGGTGTAAATTGACCAAAACAATTTATAATTTTACAGTGCTCATAACTCACTTAAAAATAAAAAATAAAATAAACTTGTGAGGTTTACTATTTAATTTATTATTTTTTTAATTTGAATATTGAGTAAATTAATTTTATACTTAAACATAACAGAGTTAAATAGATTATTTAGAATATACAATTTGCTGTCATATATTTGTAAGACAGAGAAAGCAAATGTGGATATAGTATCCTCTTAATATAGAATAATGGTATGTTTTTTTATTCAGTTTTAAATCAATAAACCATATTTTAAAATCTAAAAAATTACTTTTTTAATGAATCAAATACATATTACATAAAATATTTAATTATTAATGAGACTATAAACAACTTTAACCCTTTGTCAGTGTATTGGGATTTATTAAACCCCACATGATAAGATTTTTTATGATACCACAAGTGATTGAACTAGATCAAATTTTTATCTTCATGAAATATTTTTTTATATAGCACCCTATGATGCAAAAATGTTTTATAATTAAAAGTAAAATTTATTTTCCTCGTAAAATGTTATTAAAATGTTACTAAAAATTATAATTTTTTTTCATACAATATTATTTCTAAGTTAACAAATTGTTATTCAATTCAATTTTAATAAAAGTTGAACTATAACATTTATTTTATGTAAACTAAAATTGTGGGGCGTAATAAACCTCAACACACTAAAAATATACATTAACAAAAGGTTAAGAAGCTTTTTAGAAAAAAAAATTACTAGAAAATAAAAAAAAGTATAATTTTTATACATTTCCAAAAAAAAAAAAACAGAGTAAAAAATCAGCTCCTGTATACTTATATTTGTCACTTAACTCAAAATACTAATCTACTAGTTAAATATTACTTGTTTCTTTCAAAATGATACTAAAACACATTGTGTATTACACTTATGGTTAATTTGATATATATAAATATATTTTACTTAAATATTATTTATACCAAATACTTTACCTATAGTAAATTCACATTTATTTCTATAGCCAACACATTTCTCTAAATCATTTTTAAGACTTTGTATTTCTAAAAGTTTACATGGAAGACCATTATTTATTTTTTGTTGTGTTTTTAACCAATCAAGTATACGTTGACCACATTTAATTCGCTTCAATCGTTTACTATAATCCATGAGAACATTTTTAATAGAATTGGTTTTTCGAATTAACTGAAATTAATAAAAATATATTCTATTAAATTGATAAAATTATATTAATAACTTAAAGATATATATAATTAAGAAATTAAAAAAACTTTCTTACTCTATAAAATTTCATCTTTTAATCTTTACTGTAATAATTAACAAGCAAATTTATATGAAAGAAGTGGATAATTTTGTTTAAAAAAAAAAATGTCACAATTAAAAATCAAAATTATGTATAAAAGATTAACAATTACAGAATTTTTTTAAATTATAATTCAATAACATTAAATGCATTATTTTCCAAATTAAATGTAGATACAAGGTACATAACCATCACTCACTTGCTCTTCATAAGATATGTTATAAAAAGGTGTCACAGAACTTATCATCTGTTGTTCTGCACCAGCATTGTCCAATTTAATTTTCTTTACCTCTGAACAATCATCAAATTGTTCATTACGTTTCTTTACTAATGGATCAGGAATAGCTTTGGCATTCTAGGATGTTTTAAAATCAATAAAAACAAATTAAAAATTATGCTTTTATAGGGTACTTACAGTAGCATCTAATTTTGTGTTTTTCCAAATATATCCATTTAAAATACTTAAAGCTGCATTTTTATCTTCTTCTGAACGAAAACACATATAGAGCCACTTTCCATTACGGTTAGGGGTTTTAACTTTAGAGCAATTTAATTCTAATTTTATATTGATTAATTTTTTAAACTCCTGAAAATATTTAAAAAATAATACATATTTATAACCAAATTGCGATCGTTAATATATATTTTTCATAAATAATATTTAATTATACTTACAGCAATTCCATAATGTTTTGGAAGGTTTCTTATTTCTATCTTGTACTTTTCAGAAGTAAAATCATCCCGATCTAAATAAGCAAAAGGATCTTCTACAACTGATTCTAATTGATTTTCTTTTTCTTCTGTGTCTATTTCTCTGTTTTTTTCCTCAGATTTAATTTGAATTTCTTCAGCTCCGAATTCTAAATGACATCCTTTTTTAACTGATTCTAGTTCATTCACTTTTTCTTCACAGTTTCCTTGAATTTCCTTAGCAACTGATTCCATTTCATTTTCATTTTTTGCAGGTAAGATTTCATTTACTTTTTCCACAGATTTTATATGCATTTCCTCAGTTACTGGTTCTAAATGATTATCAACATTCACTTCCATTGTGTTAATAGTAAATGGTTTTTTTAATAAAAATATAATGAGTACTAAATTGTCAAAATAAATACAAATATATATTGGATTTAAAATTTTTAAATATAATTCACGCCTATTGTAGTATTCAATTGAAATATTGAAATATTTAATTTATTAAATTAAAATTGAAATTTTATAACCAAACATTAAAAATTATTGTTATCACTATTAAATTTGATAATAATTCACGTGTTTTTGTTGTTATATTGTCGTCCCGTCCGTGCTGACTACGATGCACGTTTTAAGATAATCACAATCGTGACGACTTACTGTTAACAAAATTATTGTTATCTATAAAAATCTGTAAAATTTAAGCGTTTAATAATTAATTCAAAAGTAATATTTTATTAGAAAAAGTTAATTAATATATTATAGTATTGATTGTTTTATTTATCATGCCACAAGGGAAATTTAAAAATAAATCACAAGTTTCTTTTTCAAAGAAAAAGAAGAACGAACCAAGTAAAAGTAGAAAAGGTAATTTTTGCTCATAACTATTTCATTAATAACTATTACCATTCTTCATATTATATTTTTATATTATATAAAGTTTCATTTCTATATAATTGTATGCATTTTACTGTATAGCATGTCCAATGCCTTCAAAAAAACACAAATATGAAGAAGGTCAGCGGATTAAACGTATGATAAGTAAAAATGTAAACAAAATGGCTGAAGATGATTTAAGATCATTGGCTATGGATAACAAGAAAGTGTTTCTTTCAAAAAAGAAAAAACAAGTTGCACAAACAGTTAAAGCTCCAGACCCTAAACCTAAACAAATCAAAGTAACCCAAAAATGAATTTTATATATTATAATATTAAGCATAATATAAATTTATTTTTAACATATAACTGAACTTTTTTGTATGATTGAATAATAAAGTACATTTTTTAAAATGTATAAAAATAATGTGTTGTTTTATTGATGCCATTAACATACCTAGTGTAGATTTCACTATTAGATTTATTACTATCATTATGAATACTCTTCTATGCGCATGGTTTATATTCATATGCATATAATATTATTTGAGTAAAATGTTATGATTTTATAATCTATTTTATCTAATTTATTTTATGTTTATAAAAATACAAATAGTTTGCAATATTGTGTTAATATGTTATATTAATTTATGCATTATTATTTATTTAGTCAAGTAAGTACTAACTATGTAACATTATTACCTTTGTGGTTTAAAAATGTATACTGTAAGTATAGGATTAGCTAATTAATATCAGTTATAACTGTTATCCCCACTATTAATTTGTTAACAAATTATGCTAAATACTTAAAACTTATACATTTAAAAAATATATAAATAAATAATTTTACAGTAATAATAAATAATATATAATATATCTAATAATATTTTAATTAATATTGTATGTTGTAATACCATTTTACCATATGTTATGGTACTAATGAAGTGTCTGGCTACCTAATAATTGCCAAAAGCTGTTGAACATTGTTAAATATTGGAATTGGAGGCTCATAGCCAAATCAGAAAATGTATATCTAAACCTCTGAAAAGTCATGACTCATGTATATTAATCTAATAAATGTTATAAACATTGAACATTGTTTTGATTCAAGTCTGGTTAATTCAACACATTAAACATATTATAAATAACATTAAAATAAGTAGGTACTTATACGTTCTTTATATTTCCTTGCATATAAGTAAAATATCAAGGAGCATTTTACAAAATGTCAAAAACCAAGCTTACAAAATTATAATCATAAAAAGTCTTATTCATTTTTTTTAAAATGGAAAATATGCCATGAATTCCGAAAGTCTGATCAATTTTTGTAAGTTCTATAACTTATTCAGTTCACTATAGATGAACCTTCTTCCTTCTTTAAAAAAATTTTATACGAATCCGTACCGTACCAATGCATACGTACAACATAATCTAACTACCATGTATACATATTTTACATTAATATATTATTTTTTTTACTATTTGACCATGAATATGATATATCTATATTATATTCTAAAATCACACTCCCCATCACTCATACCCAATAACACGAACATGATATAATATATTATATTTATAATTCTAAATTGTTAAAAAAGTAATTGTTGAGCTATCATAGTTAATATTAGTAGCAAAATAAAATAAATACAAAAAGAAAAAAATAGGTTTATTAAATTTTATAATAGTATTCAACAATTTTATAATAAATAGGTTTTCATCACTAAACGATGAAACATATTGTAAATATTCACAAAACGATATAATCTATGTGTGGTAGAGAGAATTGCAAGGGTGAGGAAGGTAGTGAGCAGAGGTGGTGGTGGTGGCAGGAGCAGAGAGTAGGCAGGATCAGGAACGGGTATTTGAATTTTGGTTATTTAATCTTCCTTAAGCATAATAACTGCCATTCCACATCTCACGCTGATTTTTGTGGAAACGATCCAAAACGTAGCCAACTTTTTTAAGGTAATTACTGTAAACTTTTTTGGAGTCATAAGTATCTAAGTGGACGGCTAAAGAAAAATAATTCAAAAGATAAATTCACACATAATTGTATACTAATTATATGGTATGCACTTATTTCGACTTACATTGCTTGAAATTTTTAATTGAGTAAATTATATGCTTTTTTCCATTATCCTATTAAATTTAAGCAGGTATGATGAATTTATACTAATAATATTATGTAATATAAATGTAGTTTTTATACATGAATTATATTTATAATATATTGAATGTATTAAATAAATGTAGTTTATATTTAATATTATATTGATTAATCATAGTTTATTTTTTCGTCATAAATTACCAAAATAAAATACATCTATGACTTACTTTTAGTAAATTGAAATACAGTAATTTGCAATTACGATACTAGTTAATTTTTATTGTCTCTTCCTTGTAAGTCCTTATTTTGTAATTTTTTCCAATCCAAATGCACTATACAAACAAATTAATGTCAAGCAATTTATATAAAACAAGGCTAACTATAAATAATGTATATAGGTACTTCGGTTGTGTTTAGATTTTTCGGCATGTGTAATAAGATCTTTGGTGCCAACTTTATCCCTAACTCCAAAATTTTGTCGACCAAAATATTTTTAGGACTAAGTAATTGTTGTTGTTTATAGATAGGACCACCCCAAGGCGGTGATGTTACAATGCAATCTGCGGGTCGTAGTCGGTGAGCAATTTTAAAAAAGTCGCCCACAATGAACGTTATTTTATGATAGACATTATAAACTTTCGCGTTATTCTTTGCTAATTAAATTTTCGCCGGGTCGATATCGATTGCTATAACTAAATTGTACAAAGATTTTAATAATTAGTATTAAATTATTACTTGTTTAGGAATTCTATTTCGAAAAGAAAGAACACAATTAAATTTACTTAAGAAAATAATGATATATTTTTAAAATACCCGAATCGCAAACTCTGGCAAGTTGAATAACATTTCTACCTGCTCCACAAAATGGATCTATGATCACTTTCATTCCCATACATTGCTTTGCAATATGTTGACTAATAATTTCTGGAAACACCGAGTTAAAACTTTCTACAAAAAATATGACATACAAATATAATATTATCATGAATATATTATAATATATGTGTATAATTATATATAATTATGTATAATTATATATTAAATTAAATTTACCCTCGTCCAAAACGTTTCCGTCATTAAACCTATCAAATTGATTCATCCTCGACTTGTACGTGTCATCACTAGTTAGACAATTAAATAATATATTAATTAGAAAAAATGCAATATTGATCCATATTAGGTAATCACTTATTTAACTTGTAGGTACTTACAGCGTTGAGAGTGTATCAACTGTGTTTGACGAGAATGATTTGGTGGAGTTTGCTGTTTTATTCGGTTTTACGACTTCGTTATTCTGAAATTAGATATTAGAATATATAAAGCATGGGTTTCGAAAATAATAAATAACGTTAAAAAAGTTGATAAATGCTCTTACGTTCGGTATTGCAACATCTTTCCCCATGGTGATGATCTCGTCTACAGAGGAAGACCTCGTAAGAACGTCATCCTCCTTCGACACTGATGGTAACAACGGCTTTTCAGTTGTACAGGATGACATTTTTTGACATTTTTTTGTGGATTATGATGTTACAATCTGTTAAAAACGAAACCAAGTTATTATTATTTAATCCTCTAATATAATTGATTTTCAATTGGTGTATACCCAAACATTTCCTAGCGCCTTTCAAACGAAAACGTTTACATAATTGACATTTACAACCATATTTAAATATGCCAAAAAATGACAAGGATTTTAATTGTTTGTGACTGCATCTATAAAATGGAATATTACAAGCAGTTATTTTAAGAAACCTGATCTTTTAGAGTGTTATGGCATGGTTATTCCAGTAAAATACACGTAATCATAGGATTGCAAACTGTGGCGTAGCCATGGGGGTTTTGGGTGTTGTAACTTCCCTCATCCATCCTAATTTAATTATTTTAATATTTTTAATTATTTAGTAAATTATCAATCAAAGCAAGTAGACTATAGTTAATGTAATGAAGTTCAAATACTTTTACAATATAATCAAAATAGTTCTAATTAAAATGCATATTTTGTATATTCCCTCCCCCTCATTCAATAATTCTGGCTACGCCACTGATTGCAAGCATGAATAATGAATATAATGTTATGTGGTGAATATTTAAAATATTTTTCTACTCTATTACTCATTATTACAATACAAAATAATGTTAATACTAGATGATTACTTGGATATAGTAAGTAACGGTGGTTCCATTTATATATCAATTTCAGCGTTCTCGCAACGATCCTTACTCCTCTTAAACATCTTTGACTTTTTAACTAAAGACGTCATATTGTCTATAGCTACTGTAAATTATTAACAATGAACTAGAAAAATTAATCAGTGTCTTCTTTTCAACGTTCCAGAGCTAATTACTATGACACTTGTACATAGTGTTGACAATATCTATTCATCATTTACAGTATAGTCTACTGTGCTTGCAAGCGATGAAAACACAACGTGCCTACAGATTTGTATCAAATTTATATTCCCAGACTTGTGATTTTATCGTATTATGCATGCCTACTTTTTAAATCTTTAATAATATTTAAAATTGACAGCATTTTTTTTTTTTTTTTTTTTTTGATTGGATCAGCTCATAAACTAATGGAACAATTTGATGATATTTTTTTAAATAATTAAAATAATAATGTTTCTTACGATTTTAGAAAAAACATAGTTAAGCCTGCACTAGATAAATAATATACCAGCTATATTATCAATATTTTGCCTCATTTTACCTGGTGGAACGAGGACTTTAGAACGAATATATGATATCTTCGATATCTTACAGGTCCCAAATATATTAACAGAACATTTATAAATACATTGAAACATCAAATAAAACGATAGGTGTAACATCTGTCTTTGCGAATGATCTCAGAAAAATATTACCATTGTCAGTATTATAAAAGTATTTTTTCAGAGATAAAATCAGGAAGTGTCAAAATACTTTAACTGAATACAAGACGAAAAAAATTTAAAAGAAATATTGCTTAAAAATGATGGTCTATTTCTGAAAGTGATTGTTATTAACACTACTGATAATTTAGAATTTTACATTGAAATATGCAAGGTCTCCGATCAATTATTTTGATCATAATGTTAAAATTTTAAAAATATTTGATTTTTTTTTTACGATTCATTTTTGAAAAGCACAAAGAATTTTTAATTTTCTTTTCATACCTAAATTTTGAAATTTTGTACAAGATTCTTCATAAGAAGTTCACACTAAAAACACAACATCTAAAAAATTTATAAATAAAGACAATTGTTTTTAAAGAAATTTCAAGTTAAAATTTGTACGATGTTATCGGGGTCGGACTGGCCCGGACCGCAGGTCCGCGATCGCGGACTGGGCCCCCAGCTAGTTTAGGCCCCCCAAACTTCATGTTCATAATTATTTTAAATTTAAATAAGATTAACATTTATTTAGTAACTGTATTTAGATTTATAAAATAAAATGAATATTATCAACGTTTATCTAAAAACTGAATCGTAATAATAACGTTATAAATTATAATAATTGCTCATGGGTCCTTCTGTCTTCGACCACACGGCGTACACACACACACACACACACACACACACACACACCAATTAATACAGATATTATAATAGCTGATGTATTATATAATTCGACTGCGGGCGACTAACGTTATTCCCGCAGCTATCTAAAAATAAATTTTACAAAATTGAATTAAATTTCTGTGCATAAGAAACACCGATAAGATACAGCACACAAAAGAAATGTCGAAGCGAGACTATTATACATTAAGTTTCATCTATGCGTTCGGACCTCTCACTCGTTAAATATATACCAATATACCTAACCAATAAGTTGAATGTAGACGGTTAGTCGTTAAAAGACTTATTGATATTATTACATTTATTGGTAGACAAGGTTTATCATATAGAGGTAAAGATGAAGCTGCTTATAATTTAGAAGACAGATCTGTCAATCACGGTAACTTTTTAGAATTAGTTTGGTTAATAAAAGATTATGATGTAGTTTTGAATGAGCATATACAAAACAGTATACATTTAAGTAATAAGAGAAAAGAGAAAGAATTATGTAATATTAAAAATGGTAATCAAGTTCATGGTCATGGAAGGGGATCATTGGTTACTTTTTTATCAAAAACTTTTGTAAACAAACTTATCTTAATCATTGGTCAAATAATACAAAATAAATTAATAAATGATATAAAACAAGCTAAACTGTTTAGTATTATGGTAGATTCTACACAAGATGTTTCTGTTTTAGACCAGCTTGCTATCTGTGTTAGATATGTTTTAAATAATGAAGTTCATGAAAAACTTTTAAAGTTGATAATAGTTTATGACTCCAGCGGAAAAGGCTTATATGATTTGATTTCAAGTGAATTTCATAAATTAACTTTAGATATTTCTAAAATTGTAGGTTGCTCATTCGATGGAGCAGCCAATATGAAAGGGACATACAATGGTTTACAATCACATTTAAAAAACAAGAATCCATTATGTGTATACACACATTGTGTAGGTCATGTTTTGAATTTAGTTATGGTCGATTCATCGGAATATTGTGTAAATGCAGAATTTCTATTCGGTTTAGTACAACAATCATCTACATTTTTATTAGATTCCTACAAAAGAATGAAAGTTTGGTCTGAGTTAACAAAAAAAACTCATACAAGTAATGATAAACTTAGGAGATTAAATTTAATTGGTGCTACACGTTGGTGGAGCAAAGACAAAGCGTTAAGCTCTATTATAAAATTTAATGAAACTGACATAAAAAATTCAAGATTTTTATTATTTTTAAATTTTTTGCTAGAAATAATTTCAAATCACTCTACATTTGATTCAAAAACAAAATTCACTGCTCGCACTCTATTACAAAATTGGTCAAAGTTTGATGTGATTATGACAGCAGCAATTTATCTGGACATATTTAGTATTAGCTCACCTATTTCTAAATTTCTTCAATCACCGTCATTAAACTATCTAACAGCTTTTAATATGATTAACAATTTGCATAAAGAAATTAGATCTAGAAGAGATAATGCTGATAGTATATTCATTAATCTTTATACTAAAGTTAAACATTTTATTACAGAAATAAATAAAGAGTTAGAATTAAATAGTAGTAATTTCACTATAAAAAATGATTTTAATGAGGGAAAATCTGTAGGTAGAGTATCAAAAAAAAAAAAAAATGTCTGGTGAAAAAGCAACAGATGAACGGCCAAATATGTCACAAATTGATAGGTTTAAAATTGAAACATTTAATTATATACATGATATTTGTGTAAACAGCTTGGATAAACGGTTTATAAGTAATACAAAATTATTAAGTGATTGTGTTTGCCTGGATCCTAAAAATTTTAATTCTATAAAAAATGAAGTACCTGCAAATGCGTTAATAGAACTTTCAATACTAACAACTATTGATAGAAACACTCTTGCATATGAATTACAACAATTTGCTTTACAGTTTAATTCTATAACTAAAACTTTTGAAGCTACTTTCACACATTTAACTGAAGACTCCCAATTTCCTATTTATGAACATGAACTAGATTTAGATGAAGACCAAGCATCTGTAATTGATTCATCTAATAATTGTAAAACATGCAATAACTGTTTACGATGTGCTTTCAATGTGTTATACAATATAGTTCAACAGTCTGGTTGTTTTAACAATATATATTATGCATATAAATTTGTATTAACGTTGCCATGTACCCAGGTTACTTGTGAAAGAACCTTTTCCAAATTAAAAAATATTAAAACCAAACTAAGATCGACTATTTCCCAAGATACAATGGAAGCATTATTATTAATGAATATAGAAAGAAATGTTGAAATTGATAAGGAAAGTGTTATTGATTGTATTGCAAAGAGTTCTAATGAACTTTCAAAACTTTTGTTAAATTGAATTGTAATTTATTTAAGTTTTTTAATTATTTATATTTAAATGTTTATTATCATATTATGTACATATGTATTGTTTCATATTTGTTGTTACAAATTGCTATAAATAAAAGTATGTGTGTAAAATATTACACTTATCTAAAATGTTTATCATTATAATGTGTTTTTTTTATTCCATATAATATTGTTATCTTATTTAAATACAAAAATGGAGACGTAAAGAGCGGGCTAACAATTTATAGTCCAACCTTAGTAAGGCCTTAAGGGCCCTTACATCAGATCGCAGACTGGGCCTTTTGTTGCCAGTCCGACCCTGGATGTTATTTATTTGAAAATAAATAGGAATGTTAATTATTTTGTTATAATTTAATTGTCTATATTATTTATATTATTTGTGAGATTTTAAAACTCTTACATATTTTATATTGTTATGCATTTTACAACACACAATAATTACATTTTTGATTTATTTTGAAATATTATATCTATTTATATGTACTATGAATCTATTTTTACTGATTAAAACACATTCTTCTGGCTATGAGAAAAGAATAGAGAAGTAAGCATCAAAAATTGTTTTCTCCATTAGACCTTAACCCGACTCTGATTGCGAAGATCATAGTACAACAATATAATATACAATATACAATGATAATCTTCGATAAATTTTGATAATCGTTATTCGTCGATTATTATGTACCCAACATCTATTTTGTTTATCAAACAGTTGATAATGTTCTCAAAATAGAATTTGTTGTAAGCAAAAAAGGAAAAAAAATGTTTTTTTTTTTTTTTGATGGTTTGAAATATATTTTTGTTTATACATCAAAAACAAATATAACTCGGTGGAGATGTTTCATGCAAAATAGAATGGCTAATATTTTGGAGAAAAAAAATGTAATACTTGAAACGAAAGGTACATTTGTACATGATTCCCAAATAATTGAAATAATAATTGGCGGAAACGTCTTTTCACAAAAATAAATTTTAGCGAAATGAGAGTCATATCTTTTTCGTTTCTTTTTCGTTTTGGCGAAAAAGGGCTATGCGTAAATCAGGTAACCGGTTTTTTTTGCGGAATCAAATTTAATACCGGTGAGCATTTTCAAAAAATGAATATTTTAAATTATTTCAAGATAGATACTTCTCAATAAATATATTTAGTATTTAAAAATTTAATATTTGTTATTACCATTAAGGTAATTAAACATAGTTCCACAATTACTAGTTCGATCTAGGACAAATTAACGTTGTCGTTTGGACGTAAAAAAAAAAAAAAAAATTAATTAAATAAATAATATGATAATAGATCATCATTAAAACATATTAAAGAAATTTAAAAAAAAATTAACTAATATATTAATATAAATAACTATGTTTAATATTCAACAATTTTTTAGATATTTTAAATATTATTTTTTTTATATTTTATATTCGTTTTTGACGTATTATTATAAATATAAATTGCATATTAATTTTATTTACTGATTTATATATATATAAAGGTATATATATATTTTTTTATTTGGTGTCCAATTGTCCTCACGTCCAAACGGCCACGTCCATTTGTCCTTATTCGTTACCAATTACCGTGGTTATAAAATTATGGAACCAACATTATGATAGACATTTGTGTTTTGTGTAATATGTGCATAAGTATATATTTTTTTAAATAGACATGTTTCTTTAATACAGTTATATAAACATAACCATACATAAATTGTTTGCTTAACATATTTTTACCAAAATATCACTTACTTATTATTAAATAACGCCTTTATTAAGTTTGATATCTTATGAACGTATATTACGTATCATATTGTCCGGGGCCCAGTTAAGTAGCGCTCTCTATTAATAAAACTGTAATAAAAAGTGATAATTACTAAATACAGGTACAATAGTATTCATTAAATTTTTATTAATGTTTTTAAAACTTATCATATTAATATTTACAAAATTACCATTTTGTTAATCAAGTTTTTTCTAAATAACCTATCATTTAAAATAATAACATATTTTAAATCAGAAGCTGATATTACAAATATTAAAATCAGGGAGTAGTTATGACACCCAATTCCATATTTGTATAGATTAAAAGTTCTATTCAAGAGTTCAAGACATGAAAATAGGAAAACAGTTATTGGTAATATGTATTATCAAAAGACTTTTAACATAATAGGGTACTTTAATATTTCCATGTATTGAACATAAAAATTATATTGTATTATTTTCAATAATATACTTTATTAATATGCAATTAAGACAGTAGGTATACAAAAGAGGTAATCTAATCAAGAAAAAGTTAAGAAATTATTAATTATGTACTGCATAGTCTGCATAAAACTTTTTAACTATATTTAAGTATTTTACTTTGATTAAACCTCCAGCCCTTGTAATACCTATACCTTATTTAAAAAGGAACTAGGATGTATTCATTTAAAAATTGTATTATCTAAACACCTTACAACTGATTGAATAACAAGATTACAAGTATAAGTATTTCTAAAATTCAAAGTACCTACCTAAATACAATCTATTAAGTTACTATTAGCTGGTACTGAAACACTTAAGTCTGAGAAACCAAATAGAACACACACAAATAAGTAATAAAAAAACCATATAAATTACAAAATAATTCCTATAACTAACATCATAATTTATCATTCAATCGATAATCATAATTATTAATAAATAATTTGATCATGATGAATGATTAAATTATAAAATTCTATAAGTAACTACATTTTATGAATAGAGTGCGCTGCCAGTCCGGTTCCTGAATAATTTTCTTATAATATTAAATGAAGTATTCTAGATTATTATTATATTATAAAATTAAAAGAATTGCTAATAGATTTATTTCAACACTGTATAGAAAAATTTTTCTCATTTCACTTGAAATTTAAAAAGTAAAAACTACATTAAAAGGTTTTATTAGTAATTAAATAGTAAATATAACCACAAATATATATATATATATATATATATATATATTATATACCCTGAACAGTCTGAACGAAACTACCTACAGTTAAAATAATCCACAATTGGATTTTATCTTACCGACATTTTGAAATTATTAAAATACATTAAAAATACATAGTTATACTTATATTTATGAGTTATGAAAGAGTATATAAATTAAGAGAAGCGATTGACACTGTCTATGATTAGTTATTTTATTAATAATAACGAACAATATTTACTGAAAAAATTAAAATTTTTACAGTTTTTGGTATCCCCGAAAATATTCCTTCACGAGATCATTTCCGGGAGTGCTAACCTCTACATAAATTCTAAAGAATACAGACTGTGTAAAAATGGGAAGGAAAATGAAGTTTCATTTTACGTTATATTTATTTTTATATACTATATTTTTAATTGCGTGTTTTAAAAAAAAAACTAATAATCGCCTATGGTTATTGAAATTTAAACTATAAATACACAGTTCAACTGTTTGTTACCAAATTATTTATCAGGGCATAATATAATGTATACTGCGTCCGAAATGTTATCTATGTTAAAAAGGTGTAATGTAAACTGCACCCGACAACTTAAGCTGTTCTCAGTTTGTAAAATACAAAACTTTTAACTTAATTAAAGGCTCTATGATTGTGCACTTTTTCAATTATGTCACAGAAATTTTATTTTCATTTAGAAATACCGTTACGTTATCGAATAACTATTGCATTCTAAAACAAAAAAAAAAAAGCGAAAATTTATAAAATTTAATTAATAAATATAATAGTGGTCAAACTCCAATCGATGATTATGTAACAACAATATTTATAATTATTTTACTTTTTAAAATCATACACTTTTTTTAAATTCTTAATTTAATTTATTTTTTATTATTCATATTATATGGTTGTAATGAATTAAGTATACATCAAAGATAATTTTGCAAAAATATAGCTATTGATTTTTAAAATTTTACCCAGGCGCAGTTTACACATCACCTTTTTACACTTGATAAAAACTCGAACGCAGTTTACTTGTGTTATTTTGGGTTTATCTATATTTTGGGCGCAGCTTACAATCACCGAATTATCATTATTATGCATTAATAATTAACCTATGTGATATAGACATCATACATTAAACCAATAGCTATAATTTTTTATATTATTTACAAAAAAAAGGTAATAAGTTAGGTAACCGCTCTGCTGTAAAATATTTGTCGATTGTACTTGTACATCTTATTATTGAATAAATCACTGTAATGTAAATTTTAAATTTGAATTCAATGATAAATCAATGTAAAAAAAGATTCTAATATTAAAAAATGTATTTTATGATAAATTATTTATACTGTTATTTAAGTAATTTATTTTACTATTAGTAAGTAATATTATAAATTACGACAAGTTAAATTATATTTTGGTTAATTTAAAATTTGAATTTTTTGTGTTAGGGACTTATTACAAACGCTCGACTAAGTAGAACAAATGGTATTAACGTATACATAGCACAATCGAATGAATAACATTATTTTTCTTTAAAAATTCAATATGGTGTGGCTTGGGATTTGGACATCAAAATACTCGTAACCATATCAATCTTAGGCAATAATCTTATATTGTTATACATAGGTGTGTGGCCTTGTCGACGAGGTCTGCCTATAATATATTAATATCGCGAGGTTTTCGTTGATTTTCTCCCGAACACCTGTTGTACGCGTGTGGGCATATTCACCATAATTATTATTATATTGCATATATCTATAATATGTGTGTATAGATAATATATATATATATATACATGACGCAAATATGTTTTCCCGCGTCACGTCGTCACACCAGCTGCTATAGATACTAACACGCGCGTCTCTCTAACGCGTGTTATGTTATTGTTATTTCTAAACAGGTATACCTATGAAGAACATATGTGCGCGTCCTGAGGCCCCCGTGGTCCAACGGGGGAGAGGGGAGGACGGATGCTGGGGAGGTGCATAACTAATGTGGTGGCGTGCAAACGGTACCTATATTATAATACATAATATAT